TCCGTGTTCATAGCTATTGATATGTAGGTTGTTTGTATACCAGTGCCCAGTGGCCGGTGCAACGTGCGGCCCTGACGTGCCCGCGACCGATGTGCATCGATGTAAACATCCAGCAAGGTCAACTACCTCGCGACCATGGTAGTACTTCCATTCTCGATCTTTTTTATAATTTTCCCATTTTTTTTATAGTTTTTATTTTTAAAGTACATTGGCTGATAATTTCTCGGCTCCCTGGGGACAAACAGTTACTTATAACATCGTAATGCAACGTAATCCAGCCTAATTCATTTCTTAAGTAGATAATGGTATTAGTACATCTTATGAACCCGGGTCAGTAACATATATCATTATATCTATCTCACTCACTCTATATGAATCTCACTATATATGAATTACGACTACAATAAAATTGAACCCAATACAATTGAATCTTTGATTCCGAAGATGGATTGCTTTCTACTTATAAATCTTTAAAAACTTATTATTAAACTCGTGCATACAAACAATGAATATTTTCAAACAGTTTTATATTGCAGTTTTTGTTCTGAAAATGGTTTCCGGAATGAGATCTTATATTCCGAGGTAATCGCGTCGTGATAATTTAAGTAATTTGTTCACTTTCTAGATAGGATCTATAACTATAAATATCGTACAGTGTTCTATTAATCATGACACTAATTCCTTTTTCCATAAGCAACATTAGGAAACGCCCTTCGATTTTACTGACTAATCGCAAAATTGCTAAGAGCACACACACGGCTTAGAACTACCTAACATTTCATCAGCATGTACCATATAATTTTTAACAATGTCTATTTTTGTTGCCCGTTTTTAAAGAATAGAAAAACCGATTTCAGCGTGTGCAGCTTGCTATTTTGGACAACACACTTTTTATTAACTTCATTATTTTCTTACAAATTTCCTTGTAGTTCAATAAAACCGCGTTGAAAGTGAAAATTTGTGTTCTGATCCCATACAGTGCTACGATTTCGCGGAACACAGCGAGCGAAAAATGTGTGCCCTCTATACAGGCTAAGTTTTTTGCGCTCGTGCATGCCGCGAATGATAATTTAAAATGCGTAATCACCATCAATCGGAAGACGTCCACTGCTTGAGACAGACAGGATCCGCCTAAGCTTCGCGACCGCGACCAATGCCCAATTGTGGCCGTAATTGTTTACCTAAATCACAAAATGCGTAATTGTCTACGGTTAACTGTAATGTCTCCTAGTGTTAAAAAGTCATAATTCCATTTTCGTGACGCAGTTACTTCCTGTCGTATAACGCTGTTTTTGCCTGTTTTTTTTTGCGTGCCAGTAGCTTCAAAGGCCTATCGGGTTTCACTATGACTGGTAGGCTAGCTGACGAGACTAAGCCTTAAAGTAATTGCAAACTTCTGCTCTAACAAAAGCAGTGATTTACAGAATATACCACTGGATCGGAATCGCGACCCACTACGAAGATCCGGCGAGAAACTCAATGAGTAATAATGCTGAATTTTTCAGAAAACAACATTTTTATTAGATTACATTTGATAGTATTCTTTATTGTGTTTATAAGTTTTTAATCATTATCGGTTTCAATTGTACTCGTACATATTTTTACTTTAATCATATGAGCGTACCTATAATAATAACTGTAATACCTAAGAACTATTAAATAGGAATGGCATAAGCTGGCAAAGAGCCATAATACACAAATATATCTTGCAACAAATAATAAATAAAGTAATTCATAAACAGTACATGACATCGAAATAAACGCGTTTATCATGTGTAGAAAATAAATTACCTATCATTATATGTACTATTTTTCCACTATAGGCGATTGACATTATTTATTTTTAGCGAATTCGAATACTAAAGGCTGCGAAAGCTTGCTTCTTGAATCACGTACAAAATACTTTTCAAGTTCAAGATAAAGTGTAACAAGTTTTTCTCAAGAACTTGTTGCCTGAATTGCCTCAGGCTCAAAGTGTAGCCGTATCCAACGAGCTGATGGATTCCCACGCTCGAACTCGACTTTTGTCTCTTTCACTCAAAGGGTTTAATTCCAGAATACAAGTCAGCGATGTAAAAACAGATTGTTTGATTCCATATAGTTTCGATGTCACACAAAAATTGCACGCCAGTCGAGCACGAGCATCGAGAATAAAATAAAATTGTAACCGATTTCTTGAATTTTCCTGTTAAATCTATTAATTCGTGTTTCTGTAACGGCTATATCCTGCAAAGAGCTATTAATAAACACAAGTTCTTGACTGTGGTGATTAACAAAGGGTAATAAACTTAGGCTACCGCGGACTCATAGAGAATAACTGCACCATCACTGTACGTATGTTTTGACGCACTGCACAACGTTCTCGTTGCAATTATTTTTTGGAACGGAGCCAGATTCTTAAAAGTATCAGTACTGAATTTTAACAAAGCTGTACGTTCACAACAGCACGGCAACGCGTATTTAGTGCATCGCTGCGGTGCGGTGTAACAGAAAAAATAATAATGTTTTGTTTTTCAACGGACTGTTGTTGTAAAATTCTCGCTTTATTATAATAAAAGCGTACAATTGTAACTACTGAGCGAATAAGCAGTGGCAGTGGTCGAGAATGTTGTTCAACAAGTCTGACGTTGTACCTACACTGCAAAATTATTCTGAGCCCATTCCTGTAATACTTACTACTTGCACACATTTAGATTTGCCTATTATTATACATGAGCTGTTGCACGCGACTTCGACGTTGCTGTTCTGTTTAGGCTACGAACAGTTTGTATTGATCTATAAATTGTGTTTTAATATTCTTTCTTATTCATACTCGTTCATATTTGAATATGATTTTTCAATGTCCAGATTTGTTTGTTATTTTGATTAAAGAGTGTCACATATTATGTTTGTTCTCCATGTTTGAATGTTTTTGTCAGCATTGGATCGTAATAAAGGATACGCACAAGGCGTACCTAATCTAATAGTCACATTCACGAACATTGTATTTATGGTAGGTTAATTGTAATAAACGGCTGAAGATGGGCACCCGTAAATATAATAATATTATCCATAACGCATTCGGTCTACGAATCGCGAAAAGCGAAGAATGTATGATGCACATTTGAGTGTCCATTTTAAACATTTTCATACAAAGAAAATTAATTTACGGTTATCTGATAATTTCGGTCTGCTTATAACGAATTTACAACAAAAAGAATGAATAAAAATAGTTTTAAGAAGGTATAAAAGATTTAAACGTGTTTCTAACTCGAAATGACCCCGTAACAGGTTTCCATTATCTAGTAGAACCACAACTGACAAACTTTAGCCAACTTACTGTCGGCTTCTCCAATATTTCCATACAAATGTGTTGAACTGGACCGGTCTTTGTTTATAGATTCTTCATTCCAACATTCGAATCAAGATTCAAATTTCTTCGTTTCGTTTGGTCAACATTATATATCCAGTTACGTACCAATGTTCGTTTCGCAGTGATTAAAAGAACTGAATGAAAGTTTAACATGTCACTTACTTGTAGTTCTTCTCCAGAACACATTTAAATTTTCTATTAAGAGTAGTATTGGTATAAATTAAAAAGCCATTGTCAAGTAATTTCAGTTTAGTTAGTCGATAATAAATCGATATAAAATAGAGAAATTCATTATTAGCTTTCGTTAGTCTCACAGAAACTATAAAATAGCTCGCTTGATTTGAATTTGAAAACATAAAATGAAAATTAAAAAAGATTGTATGAGAATTTTAACTTCAAGTTCTTTTCAATAGATGGCGTTAAATGCGTACTGATTGATCGACTCAATTGTTTTTCCTAAAAATATTAAACAGCTATATTATTGATCAGTCGCGGTACGAAGGTCATCGGGTCCTCTAGTTATTATTAGCATAAATTTAGGTTTCCTTGAGTTGATCTATCTAAGAATGTTCGATGTATAAAAATATATAAATTTATTTCTGACCTTTTTGGTTTCGTTTTATTGATACTTTCAAAAAAGAGCTCACTCAGTAATGGACAAGCTGTAAATTTCCATTGATAAATGTCAGATGAAAAGGTAAAAGGTCATTTGTTAAAACGGGATATGTTGAACAACTCCTGATGCAAGGGACACTGGACGGGACTGGATCTAGCGAGATGTACATAATGGTGGACAGATCCAGTGATATCAGTAGGGATGTCCCGTTTGAGTGTACCTTTAACCTTCAAGGGGAACGGGTGATGTTTTGACCGAGCTCTGGAACAGCAAAGGGTTCATATACCACAATACGTATGTCGTGTAGGGTTAGCACAGTCAGTTTTCGCAACCGATCGAACGGTAGATCATCAATTTGCGAAGCAAGATATGACTTGGTCTAAGAGTTAAATTCGAATATCAAGGATAATAATAAGTATTCTTAGCTACGTATCCTTAGATAGTAAGAAATTACTAATAGTATTACGGACGCATGGTGGTAAAGCACTAGCAGTTACATATTTTGTGGTCTAGAAATACAAAACCACAGCAAAAGTACTGTTAACAACCTCATTCTAGATTTTTCTACGCTAACACGTTGTTTACGTTCCAAACAGATTCTGATATTATTAATATTGCTAGCATCACAGTTAGACAAATTTCAAATGATTTACTGATGTCGTTGAAAGCTATCGCAGGCGGGGATACCAGCTATTGTCTGAGTTGTGAGTCAGAGGCGGCGCATGCACAGCTATTTCTGTGTGCCCTGCGTAGGCAGTACTCACCTATCTCAAACACAGACTCTGCAGAGACACGGATGGTACCCACATTGTTGCGGCAATTGGCCGAAATATAACATTTTTCGCATATTTTAATTTTGATTCCGGTGTCTACTTTAATTTATATTTTTATCTTTCAATTTTGAAATTTAAGATTCGATTTACCTACTTATCGTTAGAACAGTTTGACCATAAAAATCTTATTTATTCCAATGAAAGTACTTAAGTTCAGTTTAAATGAGATAAAAACGAATCTGTATAAAAATTACCACTTTATTTTCTTATATTAATGAAGTGCCCAATTGTCTTAGTTGCTACTAATGTGGCCAACAGGAGAGGTTAGTCACCTGTGCACTTTTGATTTCATACGGATCTGATTGCACCGGCATCTGTTGAATTTCCCATCCGTTAGAAGCTACAATCGCGTGGTGATGTTTTTATTTGGCGCGTACTTACTCAAGCGTCATCGGAGAGTAAAAAATCTAGCTCATTGAAAGTTTCAGAAAAAAAAGCTGACGTTATGAAACTTTATAAATGAAATATATTGACGTAGGCAATTTTTTTTATTTCTTATTTGATGTTAAATGTTGACAATTGCTATTGGTTTGAAATTCTTGAAATTTAAATAAACAATTCTGTAACTAACTAGATGCAATTTGATTTGATAGTGGTCACGTTTAATTATAGTCATGATGAGCGTCGGTACCAGTAACTGTACGCGTGGCTGTTGACACGTACCTACATTGGATCCGTCGGCTTCGTTGTAAAATCGGCGAATATCTATTCTGTAACAAGCTAACAGCTATCCGTTTGGCTTGGTACACTACGTTTAGTTTGATAGAAGCGACGACAAAGTTGCTCATGGTACATGTCCAATTTTGTCCACGTCCTTGTCCAATTTCAATTGTTAGGATTGTTTGAGGCAAATGCTTGGAGTCTGCTGTCTAACAGCTCTAAATAAGCAGAGCCGTGAGAGTGTCTTATTTTAACTAAAAACGTAAGATTCTGTTTAATTTACACAGTTTAGATAAAAATTACTGAGTTACTCGTTTATTGCATGAACGATATTGTTGCTACAAAGTATTCGCGATGAAAGAGGCATCTTGATCTATTTTTGACATACTCGTAGTCCAAGAAGTAGCTATCGGTACTGCATGTTTATGTGAAGGATAGGTTGAGTCAGAAGGTCTCGTTGCGGTAAAGTGAGAGTGGCACAGCAGCAGCACGGCATCGCGTTGAGGGCGAGCGCGGTCGATGAGCTCGATGCAGAGGGCAGCACGGTTTCGCTGCGGGGGGCTCCTCTATTCCCCCGCATCCTTTTCATCGCCCCGTCTGCTTGCGCACTCTGTAGAATCGCGCCGCGCGTTCACTAATGCGTCATGCCGCCTTCGAAGCTGACGCGCCGCTTTTTACTGCGGCGCAATACTTCGCGCGCGCCATGTGAACTTCTGTGTTGACTTAAAAACCAAACGCACACTTAATTGTCTTTCGCAAAGCGACTTCCTGGAAACTTTGATTAACATTCAGTATGAGTAAAGTGACTGGTGCGTTCAACAAGAGGCTGGAGACACTGCATCAAGGTGAAAACACGTGCTCGCGTCTTGTCCCGAAACAGTAAGTTTGATATGGTTTATTTTAGAGTGTGACTGGATTAGTGACGTAGAGCAGCCGGTGAGCCTGTACTGTGCGTGTTATTTTAGCAGCGCGCGGCGGCGGCCCACGGCGCCGACCGCCCGGAATGCGGCCTCCGCCCCGCCGAGCAGTGTCGGCGCCGAGCGCGCCGCTCGTAGCGTAATAAATAAAGGCGGGGCGCGGTTGCGTGCGCGCGCACCCTCCCGCGCCCTCCGCGCCCTCAGGTCATTGACTCGCGCCTGTCCACCAACGACACGACGACGACGATGCCAAAGACAACATTTATTATTTCTTAAGAAAGTATGGCACCGCCAAAACGAATATCGACTCTGGCATGCCGTTATACCAATGTCAATGTCGTTTATTAGGCACATTGGACATGTAAGCTAACACACGTAAACGCACTGGGTTACTTGTCGCATTGGAGCGGATGTTGACCCCGACTGTGCACCTGGCCTCGTGGCTTCCATACCCTTCACATTGCAACATTACGCATAGCGCAAAGGGCAGATTTGTTAATAGATACCTAATCGTTTTGTTTCCTGTGGACGGACCGGAGAAGCTGTTTAAATTTGTGTCTTACGTTACCAAGAGTATAAAAACACATTGTTATGCTTACTATAATTATAACCGTATTACAATATTTTTATTACATCTTATCACACCCTAGATTTTAGTTAACAAACGAGTGATATAGTGCTTATTGAAATTTAAAATTTACAAGTGGACAAACATCTTCAGCGACAAACATAATTTCGCGCGCTTTTGTTGTAAACGAATTTGAATTTCAACCGACAACGACGCGGTCTCATCCTATGCGCGCTCTTTAAGAAAAATAGACTTCAGTTTATAAGTACCTATCATAACATTTTCGGTAAGGTCTTGTATCAAATCAACTAAAATTAATAAAACTTGGGTGTTTGTATTTCAAATTCCGTTATTTTATTATCTTTCAAACAATGTTTCATGAACCTAAAAATAAATCGTAAACTTCCCGGTTGAATGGCGTCGTTGGAGCTGAGGGCGGGGAGTGGCAGGCAGCCATTGCCCTCGCTCGGTTTGTTTACAAGTATACCCTGTATGATCAGAGCGATTCTATTTGCACCCTATGTAAATGTACTTAAAGAGCACAATGGCGCTAACACACCAACTTCGCGCGACCCTTGCGCCCGCGCCATCTGCGCGCGCACGATGAAAATAAACTGCCATCGACAGACACACCATAAAAAAGAGAGTAGACTCGGTCGCCAGGTGCAAGTCGACCATCGTATGCATCGAAGGTGTGCCTAGCGTAAGGTCAGTTATAACCACGAATAAAAGCGGACGAAGACCTCGCGATATCGTGCCAATGACCAGTTTGCCTTGCGGGCCTCCAACTCTTATTAGATCGGCTACTGGAGCCACGTGTTATTCTGGAAATTAAACAATTGACGTATCTGTAACTAACGCCACATTATTGTTACAAAAAAATTGATCCAAATAAGTATATGTAAAAAGAAACAAAGCTCGTAATGTTAGTTTGGTATTATAGTTGGGTGGATTAAACAAACTGTTTAGATATTCGTATTCAACTTTATCGTCCGATAAATGCTTGAAGTTATGCTAGTCGTGAAAAAGTCACGTTAGAAATGGTGGAGAATATTCGGGAACTGTTGTAGACTTTCAACAAGTGGTCGGTTACGATGCGTGCGCATCGGATAACGGAGTTACAAATTAATGTTTTAGTGCCGTAGGTGGGCAGATGAACTCGAATCGAGTTATGTGGTTATCGGGACCTACAGAATATTTTTATTTTTTCCTACCTAAGTTGATGGTCTTGAGAGACCATATTAGCGTCATCGGGCGAATAGGTTGGGGCTCAAACCTTACGTTGTTGCTATATCAAAAATGAGTGAATGACTGGATTTCAATTGCATTGGAATAACGGATACCCTAACGTTCAAATTTGAACGCATTCTTGATTTGGGGCAGATATAGGCGGAACACCCAACAAACAACCTATTCCACTTACATATAGACACTACTTTTGATTTGTAAATCTACTATTTGGAAGCATTCCCCAAGTACTCTGGGTGAATGCTTTAATAGCTTAATAAGTAATTTTACTCTGTTGACACACTAAAGTGCTTTATGGGTGTGCTTTATTTACACTCACGCCCCACCTTTTACTTCTAATAAACCTTATGTGCTTTCTCTGAAGCAACATTATGTAAGGATTTTAAGATTATATTTGTTTTGTATTGGTTACCATTGTTTTGTTGCAGATGTTCACGACAAGGTGACATTATGGCTTAAGGAGGTTCTATTATCAACAATGCACAGAACTTCCGCGCAATAACATTATGTACTATTATAACACAGACATTGTTTTCTGGATTAAAAATGGGTATTTAGTCTTCCAATATACATGTACATATATGAACTTTTCTCAAAATTGTATTAAATGCCATCACTGGTCGTCTGCTCATTCGATGGAGCTGAAAACTTTTACAGTTGTTGGCACTTTAGCGTAGGGCTCCGTCACATTACTGGCAAATTAGTCAAAGGTAGGACAAATATGTATACGAGTATTTCATAATCATAATATTTCGTGAATTACAGTGGCCGGCTTTCACCGTATTTTGTTAGAGTGCAACTTTTAGTGGCTGTATAGTCAGCTCATCTAGTTTAAGGAACACTTATTTATCAGTCAGTTTACCGATATTTAACACCTAAGATCTAATCGTTAGTCCGTGTTCGTTGGTATGTCTCAGTGCTCACGATAAATGGAGTGAGACGCAACATAGCAAGTACTCTCACGCAAAGAGCGGTATGCGAAGAAAGTTCATCACTTCGCTAATTGTTCACGTTTAGCTATTTGAAAGAAAAAAAATCACAATCGCAAAAATACTTTACAGTTCCAAGAACATAACTGTGATTATCCTTTTACGAGTTAATAGTATCGTTCGCTCTTCGTGTTAAGTAATGCTCCAGAATGATCGAAACGAAACGGCTATGACAAATATCATAGGCGCGTAGCACAGAGAACGAAATGTGGATTAAACAACGAATAATGTAGGTACTACGAAAAAAAAACGTAATTCTGTTCATCTGTTTTTGTAATTTTTGTATATCACGGTCAATGTACGACACGTCGACGTGCTATAGAGTTCCCCAAAGTTATACGATGAGTTAGTTTAACACCCCAATTTGTAATTCGGCTAAGAGGAATGGTGTGGTCGTACAGCTATTGATATATTTAATCGTCTGCCAGAACAAACTCCGATTGTAATAAAACACAGTAAGCCGTATTTTTTACTATTTTTTTCTAGTTCAAACAGAGATTTTTATTGTTCAACCGAAAGAAATTGTTTCCGTACAAAGTTCGAATTAGTACCAATTATCAGTGCGTCGACCGTAAAGTAGATACATGTAGCTGGGAGCAGCTAAGGATATGACGTCACCGGCCTGTTTATTATCATCCTACACAAGACATGCTGTACTGTTAGTTGATGTGAATGTTAACTGAAAAATATTTTCATTATAATATTCAGTTCAGAAATCTGCGGTGTATTTAATATAAATTACACCGTGAAGATAGAACAAGTAGCTTCGGCCCGGCTTCATTGCACTGTACAAGCGGAGAATTCATTGTTGGTTACGTGACTTGGAATCCGATGTTCTTATTTAAAAGAACAACTTTGCATGCGTTACCCGTCATCCGGTCGATCATCGCTTCTAATTTGCAGCCGCTTAGCTCGAGGACGACCTCTTCGAAATTCAGATTATTAAACGAGTTCATAGAATCGTGAATGTAATTAATTACATTGTCGCCAAATTATGTTATTTCATTATTTTTTTAAAATAGCAAATTTTTTTTTTTCCTTTATAATTTAATCTTTTTAGTCAATGAGATCCATCAGTTCAACAAACCGGTATTTCGAATAAAAAGAATAGATTCCGGGTTCTGATAGACTTAGTAGAGCGACGCCGCACGCGTTTTGTATTAACATTGCTAATTAATCGATTCTACTTTAATAAAGGAATGATAGCGTTGTCTTAGTAATTTGCTAATATTGTGTGTGTTTCATAGCTCTAATGTAATATTTTTCCAAACGTCACGTTTGCATTATTTGAAGTCCACGAATGTCCCGTATTATACCTAACAGAGACCTCTTCGTAATTAATGAATTAATTGCGTCAATTAGGTTAATATGTGGAAGGTAACTACGTCCGGTTAAAGCTAATTTCAAAAATAACCGCCTTTAAATAAAACGATATCGTGTCGGGAAATTCAGTGGTTCCAAAGGACTTACAAAAAAACAAACCTTCATGGTATGAACTGTATAGTGAGCAACGAAACAGGAATTTAATGTTCGGCGAAAATGTCTCAACATAAATTAACTTCAAAATCCACATAAAAACGGTCCCTTTTTGAAATATCTTGTTAAAATCAGTTCGAACCGACAATGAGCAGGTAGCTGGAGTTCGCCTATTCAACAGAAGTCACCCCTAGTTGCTCACAAAAAACGAGTTGGAAATTGTGCAATGCATTCCTTCTTTGTGAAGCTCCCACGAAGTGTTGAGGCGTAGTCAATGATTTAATCGTCTTGTATAATATTCTTGTATTTGTGTAAACTTTCCCATAATCTTTATTTTGTACTTGTATGTTGAGAAAACAACATTTCACAGTCCAGGTTTGTGTTGTCGATTTAAAGATTCAAGCATTGTTATGAAACTGAATAAATATAAATTCATAAGTGTTTTGTTGTTCACAGATGGAGATATGACGGATCAAGTCTTCGTATTGAAAGTTCAGAGAAACGAAACTAGAACGGCATTTCTGGAATAATGCATATCGTAAGTAAAATCAACTCTTATAATAAAATTCTAAAGGATTTTGTGTCGACTGTTCGAAATGCAAATTTAATACACGAAACACATATCCCGTTTACCCTGTATTTATAAATAACGGTGGAATAATTTTTAATTATTGAGTAAAATATATCATAACTGCCCTATTATTATACTTATAACAATACAACAACCGATAAGACAGCACCGGTCTTACTGACGATAATTTCGGGTCGGACTAGCGTTATACGATTTCGTTTAAAATCATAGAACGTGCTGGGAAACAACGGGCATTTTGAAATAAATTTATTGGTAAATGTATTTTAAACCGGCGCGGTGGAATATCTTCAGTCTCTTTATAATTTTGGGAAACTGCCAATATGGTCGCAACGTACCGACCGTACAATGTTCATGAAAATATTTTACCGAAACCACGTACATTGAATATAATCAACTGAAACACTATTATTATACATATTATGCTGCTATATTGAATAAATTAAATAATTATTTAAGGAGCACTCATTTGACCATCGGCATTGCGGCGACGCTTTACCGCCAATAATTAATATTGATTATAAATAAATTATTTGTTGCGTAGAACAGATCAGGTCGTATATCGGCTTTTCATAGAGCCGCTTGTTCTACTTTTATAAACGTAAAACATTTTCATATTATTGTGAAGCAACATAGGAAACCATTAATTTAGGAGCTCAGTTGAAAGTCGACGCGATAACATACATAATATGACGTTATTGAGCGTGCTTAGGTTAGCGATAATGTTGTCATAAAGTACCATAGTACGTTGGTTATCAGTTCCGTGACGTGAGTACATGTTTGTGTGATTGTTTTCGAGGCATTCAATGTTAATATCGTATTTATCACAATGCCCTTGTTCATCGTTCTTATACAGTCAAGATTACTGCGAGGGTCATTGAACTGTTTGCCAGATATAATTGTCAATTTTTATTAGAGTCATAAGTGAGTAAGTATGTAACACGTTTTATTGCTATCGATAGAGTTGGTAATTAAACCAATGGGGATTTTTTCGTTCGTATGATATAAAATTTATGAACAATTATATATATAATATTCAAAAATTATATATATTATATAATTTTTGAACATTATTCCAAAAGGAAAGGCTGCATTACCAACATACTAAACAAACATACATATGTATGTATGCATGTGTCGTGTAATTGGAATGAGAAAGGCTGTGTTCGAATATACCTTTCCTTTCTGGTGGTTTTAAATTCAGAAATGCAAAATGCAGTGCAATTGATGTTGAAGACAGGTAAATCGTAATTACCCGAATCAGGTCGTTATACTACACACGGTATTTCAGAGAAGCAATGTGTTGTAAATAATTTAAAACTTCATTGAAGAGATTTTCTATCGAAGAACTTGGTTCGTTTCAAGATTACTAAAAATTCGTTTGGATTACTTCGAAAGAGCCTTCTTATTTACCTTACGTTGCTCTTAATAGACTATCGACAGAGTCTGGATGTCGCCACTGACTTACAGAAGTGAAGTTGGGGTCTTTGAACCGGAACGCATGATTGCTCCGCTGGGAGAATAGGAATTAGAGTGAGGGTAGAAAAACAAGTGAGGATGTTTTTTTATTATTATTATTATTGCTTAGATGGGCGGATGAGCTCAGCCCACCTGGTGTTAAGTGGTTACTGGAGCCCATAGACATCTACAACGTAAATGCGCCACCCACCTTGAGATATAAGTTCTAAGATCTCAGTATAGTTACAACGGTTGCCCTACCCTTCAGACCGAAAGGCATTACTGCTTCACGGCAGAAATAGGCAATAGAAATAGGTATTCTATCACAGACTAGCATCTTAGTAGCCGTATTTAGTGAGCACCTGATTCGTTGACAAATAAACGAATAAGCTGTGGGGTCCTCGCACTTATTGTTATTAATTACGAATTTTGTTTTATCTCATACTAAAACTTTGGCTGAGAGAGAACTGAACTGTTGCTTATAAAAATAATTGTGTTATTCAGAGGTTGGTAGTCGCCGGCAAACAAATTAATTAAACTCAAAAATCCAACTAAGGTTCCAACACCGTATGTTAGACTGAATCATTGACGCAAGTGCCAGAGTGTCGGTTGTCCACTTTTAGCGAAAAGTTGCTTGCCTTAATTAAATAACACTTGAACCGTCGTTCGTCGAGTGAACAAGTAAATAAAGTAATGTTTTGTTAAATACCCCGCGAACGAAATCGCGAACACAAAGTAGAAAAAAATAATTATAAATAGGACTACCCACTGAAATGTCGGCGAAAATAAAAGTGTTCAAAGATTGCCAAGACTAGAAATTATCGATCACGTCTAACAGTGTACCCAATCAGTGTTAATTATTGAAAATAAAATTATTCCGTTGCTCAATGGTTATTAATTATGATAATATTGATATAGCTATAGTATATATGTTCAGTTTTTAATTTATCTGACAATGGTGGGCAATGTTGAAGGCGGGAAGACGCTAATTGTGGTTTTCATTCAGTTCATGCTTTTCCTTACAGCGGCACCGACGACTACTGTTTACTGTTTACAAGAGCTCTTGAGTCGTTCTTCATAGAAAAGATAGTTCAGGTTTATGTCGTGAGGTCACTCGCTCCTAATGAGAACAAAACTAGTGAAACGGAGTTTGATAATTAAATAAATGGTAAAAATCAAAGCAAATGTTCTGGAATTTGATTCTTAATTCAATTTAATTAAATAAGATAGTTAACATTAAAAACGTTTGAAAAGAATAATTAAAGAGTAAATTTTAATTCGCATATGGAATCCTATCCTATTTCAAGAAGTTTTATACATTCTGACTTACCCTAGTAGGTATTTTTTTATTATTTTTTTATTGCTTAGATGGGTGAACGAGCTCACAGCCCACCTGGTGTTAAGTGGGTACTGGAGCCCATAGACATCTACAACGTAAATGCGCCACCCACCTCGAGATATAAGTTCTAAGGTCTCAAGTATAGTTACAACGGCTGCCCTACCCTTCAGACCGAAACGCATTACTGCTTCGCGGCAGAAATAGGCAGGGCGGTGGTGCCTACCCGCGCGGACTCACAAGAGGTCCTACCACCAGGTATTAGTAGTTATAACAGTCTTTACTAGTTAGATAACAGTAATCTACTTAATGAAAACATATTGAAGTAGTAGCCCAAATTATACGTGAAATCGTGACGTAACCCACGTTAAATTGATAAACAGTCTGGCTTTTGTTTTGATAATGACCGATATCAAAGTCAAAGTCACGAAATTCAAATGAATTCGTAAGCGTCATAATATGTAGATACGTGTCCTATTTATCGCTTTAAAACGATTTATTTATGTATTATTCTGTATGTCATTTGTATAGCTGTTGTATGAGTGTACTTGAATTATACATATCAGAAGGTCAGGGTGAATACTTTTGCTTCGGTCATTATCACGATAAAAAGTATGACAACAAATTAACATATTGCGATGTGACATAATAAATAAAATGTATAAGCAAGTAATATTTTGTTTGAAACTTTAATATTTATTAAGCTTTCGTAACTAACATTGTTGTTTTATAAAATATATATTCTTATATATAAATTATACATGTTTATATAAATCCATGTATTTTAATGTTCTAATTTGAAGTTTGATGTTAGAACAATACAATTCGTGACGCCAAGGCTTTATGTAGCGTTTTGTTTTTACTAAAGTACATCCTGAGGCTTAGGTCTTGAGCATTACGTAATTATCAGAAGAACAAAGGTGCAGGTGACGTATCATATTCCCAACACCATAAATGGCCGTGTTATGGCCGGTTTGTTTTAATTTCTTGGTGGTGAATGTACGTATGAATACCAAGCATATTAAAAAAAAAACTGTTGTTTGACAATTTTGTACAATTGATTTTTTTTAGTCGCCCTCCGTTTCATTTCGATGGCGGTCCGCATGTTCGCTTACGCTTTTAACACGAAACAACATTCTTTAAAAACAATTTTGCAATTCCTTAAAAAAAAAAAAACTATCTGAAGTTATATTTTTTAAAACCTTTTAAAGTTAAGTAGTATTTTTAGAGTACGTTTTTAGAGAACTCCGTCCTTCTGATTCACTCTTATTCACTTTGTGCGCTATTTATTAGTAGCAGCAACCAATACACAGGTCACCGTACCGGCTGAATTCGCCGAAGAGTTCGGCGCGAAGAGTTCGGCGTGAACATTAACCCATAACAGGCAGCCCTCTTGTTTGCCGGTTCTTCTCAGTAAAATGCGATTCCGATTTGGTGGTACATTCACTCGCGTAGCAGCTGCTCTTGAACTGTTAGAACTTTTCTGGGCCCATTGGGCAGATCGGGAGTCCTCGAGTTAGTTCACCCATCCTCTTACTACTTACTTACTTATACGTAAATTAACCCACAGACACAGCCCACTGAGTTTCTCGCCGGATCTTCTCAGTGGGTCGCGTTTCCGATCCGGTGGTAGATTCTGCGAGGCACGGCTCTTGCTAGGGTTCGTGTTAGCAACGTCGTCAGGTTTGAGCACAGTGAGCTCATCTACTAGTTACGGTTAAACTGAAATAGCCTCTCAAGGCTATCAGCATAGGTAAGAAAAAAAAAACTTACCTACAGTACTTATATTTATTGTAATAGTTTTAAAATAAACGGACCGAAGTCGAAATCGAAATTAAATAAAAAGTTGTCGATTTGTTTTACATTAGCGCAACCGTCATCGAAAGCAAAGTGGCAAAAAGCGCGTTAACCTTCGTCGAGTAATGTAAATAGTACGTCAGGCTGTGCGAGTGCAGTCCGTAGAGCAAGAAGGAACTTGAATGGCGCCGGTTGTAAAAGTTGGCGAAAAAACAAGTGGCGTTGAACCGCACCCGCCGCAGCGAATGCACTGCCGTTAGCTTTAGCCGAGGTCAGGTTGTGTACAGACTATGTATTATTGTACAGCTCGCGCTCCCGCGGACTAAATGAACTTATACTAACCGCAGCTGACTTCGAAAGTATCGATATCTTTTCCAGTAGCCAAGTAGTTAGTTGAATTAGTTTCACTAAGTGTAACACTGAATGCGTGATAACAAACTGATAAGATTGATACTATTCAACTTTATACGATAAATTCATTGAATAAACTTTCAGTATTTTTTTTTACACATTTATCTCTACTACTTTTTTGCTGGACGAAAATCAAATGAATGGGCTGAGCTTGACTCTGCACATATCATTTAAAACTGATTTTTCATATAAGTTTTTTGTTTCTGTCCATTAAATGAAATAAGCACGTTAAAATAAAATGTTTCCAAAATTATTTTGGGTAAATCAACAACAAGTGTCAACAAAACGTTGTTCAACACAGAAAGATCCGTGGTAGGTAATTTAATTGCGTTGACCGACTTCCGAACTCGACTTTTCGGAACACGAATCGGCTGTTCTGGCGAAATTAGTTCATTGGGACATATAGGACAAATTATATCCGCACCTGGGGGTGGAGAATGTTTAGGTGAAATAAATTTTAAGCTGTAGAACATTAGGACGTAATTGGCGTGAGCAGACAGTTTATTGAGATAGAAGTAAGGCACGCAGTGACGGTCTGGGAAGCGCGCATGCGCCGTATGATTGATTTATAAATACGAAAAGCTTTTCCAATATTGGCAAAATGTAAAGTGTGTTACCAGGTCGCCCACGTGCAGATTTACTTTTCTTCTAACTGTTATCTTAATATTATCTTGGTTTTTATTAAATTTGCAATCATATTGCTCTCACTCTTTTATATGCGCTATGTAAGAAAACAGAAATACGTAGTGAGTTTGAGGGAAAATTACAATTTTTTTTACAAAGAAACCGGCGTCATTTAGGTACTCAAAAGTCTAAAATACCGCGTTAACAAAGCAGTGTTAACAACGTTAGCGAGTAACGAAGCTCATTTACGGTAGGCACTGTAAAACAGACAACTTTCTAAAAGACTACACGTATATAATATAGTGGCGCTGTACTGTATATTATTTTTGTATATGAATGTTTTTTTTTTAATTAGAATGACATGACTTTCAGAATTGGTTTTCCAATTGGTTTTGACGAGGCATTTAAGAATGACAACAATATTACGATCAACATGTTTGTCCTTCGTGAAACTGAAGTACAAGTATAGCTCTTTTTTTATTGCTTAAATGGGTGGACGAGCTCACAGCCCACCTGTTGTTAAGTGGTTACTGGAGCCCATGGACATATACAACGTAAATGCGCCACCCACCTTGAGATATAAGGTTACCGTATACCTCAAGTTATATTTATAAATTTAAAACGAACGTAAATATTATTTTATTGCATCTTACGAATTATTATCATTAATAGTGATTAATCGGTATACCTACATAGTGATGTAGGGTATAGTCAGTTCGTATATAATAAGGGTGTTTGCTAATGAAGTTAGTGCTAAAAGTTATGATAGTTTTAGCATTAAGGAAGCTTCAGTCTGGCATGATGGTATTCGTTAGCTAGCACCAATTATACTGTTTTGTATAGTAATACTGTACTGTAATACTGTACAAAATAGTATTATTGGTCTTAACTTCGGCTGGAAGAGTTTATGAATGATCTTGTACTCAGAATAGCCTACTGAGTTTCTCGCCGGATCTTCTAAGTGGGTCGCGTTTCCGATCCGGTGGTCGATTCAGCGGAGCACTGCTCTTGCTAGGGCCAGTGTTAGCAACACTCCGGTTTGACCCCCGTGAGCTTACCTACACGTTAGGGTGAAGCTGAAATAGCCTCTCAAGGCTATCAGCATAGGTAGGAAAAAAAAGGTACTCAGAATGGTTTATGCGTATAAAGAGCGTTTTAAAACGTTCAGACCTTTACCAACATGTAAAAAGTTACGAAATCCTAAATTTAAGTTTTTTGCTCGTCATGTAATATATCTATCACGTTCGTGTGTGTTGTGTATGGCTTAGCCAAAATATGTTCCCCGCACTGTCCGCAATTACGTTCGCTGTAATATTTATTGCGCATATATTTTTTAGAGCAGATTAAATAAACATTAGTAAAATGTTTACAAAACTCAGCGCAAGTACGGCTTTCTGTACGAAAACCGATCAGCATATATAAAAAAGTTAAATCAAAACGTATTCTCTCCTAATCTGTACGTTTTTTTTGTTTGTTTGTTTTGTTTTAGTTTATTCTCGTGTCCTAATGTTATTGTTTCTACGAGCTATTTCTGTAATAGAAGCTACATTAAATTTGTTAGTAAACCGTTATATTTCATACGTGACCTGAAAATGTCTCTCGTTCATTGGTCCATTTAATATTTCTCGACATTTAGCGCTTGTTTCTGTGATACATATTGTATGTATACATACATATGTACGTAACATCGAAAATCTATTTTAGCTACAAATAGTTTGGCGAATTGTTTAGGGCAGAATTCTTAGAAATCCATTTCAGATGAACGCGTTTGAATATAAAATTACTTTTCGTCTTTCGCAGGTGGCACGATAGCATTTTCACAGTCATGGACGAAGCCTGACCAAAAACAGAATCCACGTGGTGGAACCGGTGAGTTCCACTATTATACAACGTATTTGCAGCTTGTTTTAAATTTCTAGTTTTATTATTCATTGTACCGATAAACTAAGCTCTGCGAATTTTTCTAAAAACTTTCGAATTACTTTATTTATGTTTTGTGTTTTGTAATTAAGCTAAGCAAACGCTGCGCAACCTATATGCAATACTAAGCTATGAATACATGTTAACGTTTTTATGGCAGGTAAAAAAGAATTATTCTCTCATTGTTACAGAAGTGTGACTGCTTCAAACCAGCGCACTCTCTTCTCTCTTTCTCTCTCCGCTGCTGTACGTCACACCTAAGGAAAATAACTTGATAGGTAATTATGCTCTGACATTTATTATTATAATTTATGTTACAAAAAATGTGATTAGAGTATTTTGCCCTGCGATGTTTTTGTTTTATTTAACGAAGCGAATGCTGGCTGTATGCTTTTTAAATTTTTTTATTAATTTTTTTTGTTAATTTCATGAAGTTTACGGGAAGATTGCAAAATTTGATTTGATTATTACATACACTGCAACATATTATTGTTTCTGAAAAATTAAATATCAAACTGGTCTTGTTTGTTTGATTAACGGTTCATAAGCAGCAAATCAATTGTCGCGTTAGTCTTATTTTAAAGACATCGACAACTCAATGACATTTGACATTACTTTTTCTTTTAATAACAAAATAGAAAGCTAAATAAATTTACTAGCCTAGTACACACTTACAGTTCTTCGTTTTATTTATAAAAATATTTAAGATATTCGATAGATTTCAATAGATGTGACAAAAATTAATCATTTCACATTTCTAAATATATATTAATTTAAATCTATTTTTATTTAATCTTATAATCACATTCGCACCATGCATGCGAATTGACTAATTTTGCATTGAAAAAGAAATGCTAAAAATAGATATAATTCTCACTCAGTTGTAAAAATAAACGGCTAGTTTAAGATCATAGTTTCAGTGGCGAATTAAATTGGCCATAAAAAAAAAATAAGAAAAAAAACTGGTTCTTTTCGTTGCAATTTTCCTGGAGATATCATGATGCTAGCGAACATTACTGTTGTAAAAACGATTTCAATAGACATTATGATACATTTTGACAGTCTACTTCTTTGGATGAACGTGAGATTGGCTTGGTGCTTGAAGACCCTTAGCAGGTAGGTCCGATCGGCGATCATGTACGTAAACTAATGTCGCGTTGCGGTACTGTTACTTTCATTTAAACATTAATTCCATAACGAATAAAACATCATAGTGACATCAGTGTGACAGTGCATTTGCCGCTAATTCAGTGGAGGGAATTAACGTGGCTTCATTTAGTGCAGCGGTCGGGGAACCGGGGTAAAATGAAACTTTTGTGAGTAAAAAAAAAGTATAGAAGTGAAACTTCTTTAGAACCGTTAATTTTTTGGTTATTGTAAAATTATCAAGGGGGCTATAATATGAAAGATACTAAAAAGAAGCGATTTCGTTTTTTTTTTGTTCTTCGCCATAGGGTAATATCAACTTACACAAAAATATTTTTTGGTAATAATTAAAAAAGTTCCCCGACCGCTGATTTAGTGCAACACGAAAATTATTTAATATCAGCATTTTAAGACCAGTCGCATATATATATACAGTTTTATTGTTGCATCGATCACAGAGTTAGATTGAGCTGTGTGCTTCTTTCATGACTAAATCGTCTCGTGCGGGGAGGTGCGCACACAATCGAATTCAGTCGACACGCCATCGCGCCATACTAGTTCTTTCTATTTATCAGTGTTTAGACGAGCACATTGTACATCTCTCGATACATCGAGCCGCGGCCTCTCCGTATTTGCTCGCCCGATTAACCAAAACCCGATCGATGTGTTATTTTGAGATTTTGGTCGAACAATTATCGAGCCAATGAAATGCGCACATCCCCACAGACATCTAATCTTAAAAATAAACATTACTTTGATATATTACTACATATATAACTGAATTAAGTCAAAATTTAAGTAGAACCTGTTTTTTTTTTATTTAAATTTCCAAAGAGAATATTTGAGTAGCAGATGACGGTTTATGATTGATTGGACTGTTGTAATTAAAAATATAAACATGTTAATTCCCTTCATTATGACTTTTTTATATGTTGCATTATATGTTATAGCACACATTGCATTGTTACACATACATCATGGGTACATGGCCGCAATATTTAAAAAAATAGATATTAGTTCATTTTAATATCGCTTACTGTGGCTTTGGTTATGCATATTTTGATCATTGTCATCAAGGCAAGCAATTAGATTAATTAGTTACTTTTATGTCGTCACCCTGTACGGGTTCTGTAGGTAAACGTTAATTAGCACTTTATATTATATTAATATAGTCTTTGTACAATTAAACTGAAATGTTGAATGTGGAAGGTCGAATGGAATTTTCAATACGGCGAATCAAACAATAGAATTCGTTGTGCAACGTATAACGTACCGAGTCAAAACATACACACTACATTGTCGCTAGGTCGAGCGAAAACACTTTCGATTACAAAAAAAAAACATCTCTCCATCTCGAACGCAACCAAATCGAAATTATATTATAATATGTTTTATTCAGCAAATTATTGATGTTAAAGGAAGCACAACACTCGTTTTCATTAAAAACACTCAGGAATACTCTTGGAATGTGATCTAAAATTAAAATTACGAAATTAGATGCATAAAGTTAATATTAAAACTACATCGGTTGCATGCAATTGTTTTATTAATATACATATATTTTTAATTAAATTCACAGTGCTATCACAAAGTAATCGGCAGAGTTAATGCTGCAATAGAGTAACCAAACGTTTTAGATGTTAACAAAGTCCCAGAAATTACGAAATAAGAAACCTATTTAGGTAATTTCAATTTAGACGATACGATTCCACGAGAGCTTAAAGATTTTACTTAAGGACTGTTAGTGAAATATATTAGTATCTATTGTTATTGTATTATTTGTTATTGTATCTTATTATAGGATAGTATGTATGTATAGTAGGATTTAAACTTATTTGATAGCTAAGATTTGAATATGTAAAATAATGTATGTTCTATTGATTTCTTCTAATTTCGTGACATATTAAGTTGTTTTTTTTTTTTAATATATTATAACGGTATAAAAGAAAACCGAATATCATACTTGTAACAAAACCCAGAAAACCTCTTTTTTATTACAAATCGCTTAATAAAAATTAATTCTGAGTTGAAATTAAATTCAAATGTACTCACTTATAACACGATTGTGAATGCTTCTTAATATTACTTAAGATGAACCGTACAAATTGGTTAAAATAACGTTAATAAAGTTTTTAATGTTTAAAAAAAAAAACTTATTGTCAACCAGACTTTTACTTTCAACACTTTTATATAAAACAATAAAATAATAGACATGCCACGTAAACGCTTAAATACATGAAAGAATAAAACGAAAGTACATGAAAAATACATGAAAGAAAAAAGAAAAGAAAAGCCTGTTTTTAAGAATACTTACAAAAAAAAAATCTTGAACAATAAGACCCACATAAAACCCATTGTAGTTACTGTTTTTGTAAGTACTGCTCATGAAATTGAAAGAGCTGAACTCATTTACGCAAGAATAACTTTTTAATTGCATCGTAAATAATGCAGTGATTGCGTAAAGCCTAATACATACAACACAATCCGCTCGATCCAGAATTTGTTTCGTCATTTGAAATACTGTTTTAGATTCGACAGATGACGATTAAAAACTTCGATAAAAAACTTCACGAAAATTGGAAACAAAATTATTAAAGTCGTTAATTCCTGGCTTGAAGAACTTGTCAAACAATTGCATCGTAAATTTGTAAAGAAAGTATTTTTATCTTTTTCTCTTGTAATATTACCGTTACAATAAATGTATCGTCTTTTCGCATTAAAAGTGTACAATTTCAAAAAATATTCGAAATTGAGTTAGTATGCGGAATCATTTGGTATCACCAGTATTTTTCTTATAAATACTGTCAAAAGAACGTAGTTTAGTTTTAGTTTTTTTAGTTTACCTACGTTTTGACTACTATTAACAAAATTAATACATAATTTATCTTACTTTAAAATACAGATAATGTAACTGGTAAAAAATAAAATAAATGATGATGATGATGATGAACGAAGATGATTAATATTAAAAATATCACATGTTTTAAACCATTAAAACATTCTCCTGTAAAATTAGTAAGTTTTGAGATTATACAGTTTTAATGCGAGAAGACGATATGTTATTTTTATTTTGATGTCACATTTCGAACGTTCGTTTCGGCTATAAATAAACGAAATCGCATTTAATTAACTCCTTACAACAAAGTAACTCTGGACGACGTAAATGTATCATCGTTAAACTGAGACACAGCGTACTGATTTTCGGAGAAGTGTTCTCGTTTAGCTGTTTACACAATTCAGTGCATGAATATGTATAGCTTTATTGCTAAATTCCACGTTCCTCAAGATTTACGTTCAAACCGCCTACTGTATAAAAGGGAACGCGAACTCCCTTCACAGTTACAGTTCGAGAAATTAGAGTAACTAGATGATGACCATCTTGGTTAGTTGCCCTCAATTAAAAAAAAATAGTATTATTATTCGCCACTAGATGTCGGGAAGAGTTGATTATTGAAAACACGAATAAAACAACATTTTCTGAAAATAAATCGTAGCTAGATCGATTTATCGCCCCCGAAATCCCCTGTATACTAAATTTTATGAAAATTGTTGGAGCCGTTTCCGAGATTCAGATTATATATATTATACAAGAATTGCTCGTTTAAAGATATAACATAATAATAATAATGATATATTTTAAAGTACTATGATATTCATTTGGATTTTCCTATCATTATTTTTCTTTATTTATACAATTTTATTTGTACGTTTTGTTTGCATCAACATAAAATCATTGTGACAAATTACTACATAGTATAAAAACAAAGTCGATGCGGGTTTTTTTAATAGATAGAGTGATTGAAGAGGAAGATTTATATGTATAATAACATCCATTAACTAGTGGAGAAATCAATAATAAATTACAGTTTCCGAAGCGAAGCGAGGGCGAGTCGCTAGTATAAAATAAAATAAAAAAATCGTTTGAAATCGCATTCCAGATATCATCAGCACACAACAAGCATTCGACGAAATAATTGATTATTAAGAATTGTGTAATTCTAATAGACTGTGGTACGATTTATACGTTGCACGTAAAAGTATACACACGCAACTAAACATTTGTAAGTCTACCCTCCTCGATTGGAATGAGATGTTCATAGTGGAAATAGTTTTGCATGACAACAAAATCGACTAAAGCTAGTTAGTTTAAATGTTGTAGTAGTTTGAATTTTATTTATATAACTCATATATATACATATATATACAAAATGCTCCATTTTCAAATGAATCCTAGCTGAGTTACGCTTCTGATAAATATCTTAGTGAAGTACATCATATTTATAGATCTCGCCGCTGAATCATTCACAAAAAACACCTGCCACAGTCGAAATTCAAACAGAAACCCAATTGGCATTTAGTTGGCATTAAATTTAGTAGGCATTTACAACCAATAGTATACTAGATTAATATATTACATATAGAAGCCAATTTCAGATCTCTTACAATTGTAAAAAGTCGAAAATTTTCTTGTATAAAGATGTATGACTGAATTCAAAGTATTCTATAAAAGCTACAGAATATATTTTAATTATTTTGTCAAACTAAAAGAGGATCTGATTTTGTGTTTTTATTTACAAGGCCCCAGAGTTTGCAGTTTTTTTTTATATAAAAATAAAAATAGGTAGTCTCATTTTGTACGTAAATCAATTTGGCATTAATTAAAGATTTTATTCGAAAAATAAAACTACATGATGAAATAAGGATGTAAAATTTAGACGATTGATGTACTGTAATCGTGTAAGTCATTTAAAGTCAACTATATCTTTAAATTGTGCCTTTAAAAGAAGACTACCTTCTATGATTAGCAATTGTAAATACAATAAGCTCGGACCAAACCTCTAGAAATAGCACTATATCCTAAATATTGCAATGTTAAAAAGGAGACTGCATTCAAAAAATGGTAGTCTGTTGATACAATTAAATTAAACTACATGACATTCAAAACACAATAATGCGTCGAGGAATGAACC